ACGTTGCCCACACACACACACGCACACAAATGTTATATGCGTGTGTATGTATGCATGTACATATGTATATAATTTTGAACTTGTTCCTTGTTGATTATTGCACGCACGTACGAATGAGGGAGACATTGCAATATAAATTAAACACCCTCCGTGTGCAGGCGTCAGCGTCGATGTCGGCGCCACTGCTGCGCTGCTGCCTGAGTGACCTTCACAGTCCATAAAGAAGAAAAAATAAAAGCGCACGCGAATAAAATCGCGCGCGATTTTATTAAGATTTGTCGTCGACCCCTGCGGCCTCAAATAAAATAAAAGCATACAAAAAAAAAATAAAACAAAAATAAAAATTTTTTTAAAATTTTTTTTTGGCTACGCTCTGCATGCTTTTAATTCAAATTGCGCAGTCTGTGTAGGTAAATGTTTATTTTTATTAACATACATACATAATTATAAAAACATTGTACACGTCGTGTACTTTTCGTAATTGTGTCCGCCATGTGTCACATAGTATTTGTGTGGTAAATGTGTACAAAAACTAGTTTGAATGTCTGGCCCAAAATGCCATCCACATTTTGGCTGGCAGCCCAAGGCAAGCCCCAGATTGGCTCTAAAGCTCACACTCTCTCCCTTACTCCTACACATGCAATTCCCAGTGAGTGCGAAATGAGTAAAACAACAGACAGATGTGGCCAACTCTCTAGCCCAGAACCTGCTGCTATTTCCAGGCAGCTTCCAATGAAATGCACAATGCAAATCAATACCATAATTTTTATCTGGAAGCGGAGGCTTTGAAGTAAATATGAAAGTGGAGAAGAGGCAGAGACAGTGGAATTTGGCAAAGAGCTTTTGCTTTAATTGGAACTTAAGTTATACAAAATGAACTCAGAATTAGTGTAAGGTCCACTTGAGAAACCCACGCCAAGCCGATCCACTCCAAATCTTTGACATACTTTTTTGCAACCCATGCCTGAATTTATTGACCACTCAAAATAGAAAACCGCTTCTTTGGTATCATATGGCAATGCGTTCCACATACATAGCTGCTGCTTCCTGCCCACATTGTTGGGTTAAGTCAAGGCAAATATATTTCGTCTTAACAGGCGAATTCAATTAGCGAACGTTTGAAGCCCGCCCCGCCCCGTCCCGCCCCGCTCCCGTACAGAATCCCAGCAAAGTGAGTTGCTGCGTGGTTGGAAATAAAAACCAAAAACAAAGTCAATTGATTTGACAGCCAAAAACAGCATTTGCCAATTGAAAATAAGAGTATTGACAGTTGGTGCGCTAATGCACAGACTCGTCCCATTTGTGTTTATATATTTTCATGTGTGTGTGTGTGTGTGTATGTGCGCTAGTGTTTGCCTTCCCGGTCGCCTGCTCATTCCAGGCCCCCTTTCTTACTCTCTCTTCCGCTCTCTCTCTCTCTCTCTCTCTCTCTCTGTCGCCCGCACTATCATATTATTGAAACGGTGTTTTTACTTTCAAGTTGGATACACAGCTGTGTTTGCGCTCTATAAATAAAGACAACTAAAAATGGCAATGTATGGGTTTGGGTATTCATTTTTCCTGTAATGTTTACGACCTGCCATTGGGCGAATGAGTGAGTGAGAGGCAAAGAGAGGAAACTGCGGCTGCAGCGAAAGCAAACAATTTATCAGCTCTGCGGGATGTGTTGGAAATGGGTGGCCAACGGTTTATTGGAACTCTCTATTGATGGGTTGAAAAGGGTGTGCGGTGGTGGGAGGGGGGCTAGCTCTGCATAAGCTCTGGCAATGGCATAAATGAAACGTTAATTGCGTTGACGCTTTTTCTGTTGACGGTTTTGTCCCATTGTTTTGTTTGGCTTCGCGGATTCTCATCTCGTCCGACACTTTCATGAGTGTGGTTTAGTGGTTTTTATTTGTTTTTCTTTATCAAAGCTGATGCCAAGAAATTTCGAGAGCTCATTATGCTCCCATCCCTCCCCCACCCTCCCGCCAACTGTTTCGATTGTGACTCAATTAGCAGGTAAACAGGCAGTTTTTTCAACAACTTGGCGTAATTAATTCTTTATAATTTACTTAACTCAGCTATAAATATAAGAAAAAAAAGAAGCTATTTTTTACTCAATGTCAGCTGATTTGATTAAACGTGTCCAAATGTGAATCGCACATCCTACTTTCTTTGTTAATCGCCCGATCTCTTCTGTGATATAGTATATGTATATGTATATGTATATGTACATATATGTATATGCATATGTATATGCATATGTATACGGCCTGATCTTAAGCCTCATAAGCATTGCCTAATAGGTGGATGTTGCCTTTGTTGGGCATCTCAATATTTTCGTTGCTTTTATCTTATCTCAATTAAGCTATATTTTGATGCCCCATTAAAAACAAAAAAAAAACATTGCAGTCGGGTGCACCTAACAGCGCAATACTCTGTAAATACAGCTGACGCCAAGTTTCTTTTCATTGATGAGTTTCCCGACTCTGAGACTGTTATCCCAAAACAGTTACTCTCAAACTGTGGAAGGGTGGGCGTGGCTGCCATCTTGGCAGGTAGTCAGCAGGGACGTCTATCTTTACGCTTTGCCAGAAATGGGTTTCTACAGAATGGGTTTGCCCAGCCCCTCGGCCTGCAAAGCGCATATACTCACTTTTACTTTGTAAAAAGAGTGAAAAGAGGCCTATAAAAAGGCACAGCAATTGCTGGAATCTATCTGCACACATGGGCTCTTGTTGTTGTTGTTGTTGTTGTTGTTGCTGTTGCTGTAATTGCAGTTCTCTGACTCATTTGGCTGCGCGTTGTGCTTGGTCTTTTGTTGCTGTTGATTTCTTTGATTATTTATTACACATCTTGGCACTTTTAATGTCTGCCTCACTGCTGCTGCCCCGCCCCGCCCCGCCCCGCCCGCTGGCTGATGACGATGACGACGCCAAAGATGACGTGCGATGCTCGGCAGTGTTTAAAACGAGAAGCAAAACAAAGACAAAGCGTGAAAGAACGGCACACCGACGATTAAATACCCTTGTCAACATAAAGCTTATGGCTTAGAAAATATGTGTGAAGCATAATTGCTGACAAAAACAGAAGAGTTTTGATAAACAATTTGTATCGATATTTCCCATTTGTCCATTTATAATAAAAAACATCAACGTTTTTCATGCAAAAACTCAATTTACGAGCCTTATAAATATAGTTGTCCGATCCGGCTGATCTCGGACCCAAGCAAAGTTTGGTAACAAAACCTTTAAAACTAGATAGACTGGGCTGTTGATACTAAAGATGAATACATATGCTTGATATGTCTCTTATGCTATACACATTTGAGGACAAAATTATAATACCGTCTTGAAGGGTATAAAAACGAAGGCAACTGCAAAGCGGGCGATCAAACTTCATTTCGTAATGTTTGCTGTAATGGGCAATGCATATGGGGGATATGGGATATATGAATGATGCAGTTGTCCAGTTATCAAGCCTGGCGGCAGTCTAGACACAAATGGAAAGTGGAAAATGGAAGAATCACGCAACTTGAATTATGGAACGCAAGCTTTGGTTGGCTGACTGGACAATGGGCTTGGGGGGAGAAAAAAATTTTACCATGCAGTTAAGATCGTATCTGATGTGCATAGGGCAATTCTTCAGCGAGCACTTTAGATCGTATCTACCGCATGCAATCCACATGCGTTTATACGCATATCGAAACCAGGTGGCAGCCCACGCAATGCGGTCCACATGCGTTCCACTAAAAAGTTATTGCATAATCATATTGTGCAGAGCTTAACGAAATGAATGCACATACTGTACACACATTTGTACATACATCTGTGATTATGTACATAAATGGAGACTGACCGATGTCGCGCCGGTGTGTCGCACACACACACACACTCTCGCAGATACGCACTTGTAAATGTAATTATAACACGCACAACAACAGCAACAAACAGCGCCTGCTGATAATGATAATGTGTGGAGCAGGCAGGCGTGGCGGGGAAATCGGCGACAACAACAACAACCACAATAACAATGACAGCACATTGTGGCAACTGAAAATGATGCGTGTCCAATGAAAACTTTATCAGCATAAAGTGGTGCGCAGCGTGGTGCTCCCATTTCTTAGTTATCCATACGGCTGGCCCACATACCACACACAAACACACATACACGTACGCATATGTAATGATGATGAGGATGACGATGACGATGTAGCTTAATCGCATTCCCATTGCTTTGCCGTTGTTGCCTCATCTCTCTCTGTCTCTCACTCTCTCTCGCTCCCTCCTCCTCCAGTATGCTCTCGGCCACTTTTGGTGTTTATGACCCAATTTGGCTTTTGGAACGTTTCGTAAACGACCCACCGCTGCCATTTCCGCGCCCAAAAATAAAAGTGAAAACTTAAATGCGTGTGTCGCTCGATTACTTTCCGTGCCTCCGCAACACACACACACTCACACACCGACATGTACACATGTGTGTTTGTGTTATCAAACGCGGCATTCTTCATTTATTTGCCCAATGTCGTTGATTGATTAGCTTTCCAATTGATTTCCTATGAGCTCTGCCGATCTGGCAGCACCGCTGGCGCAACAGCAGCGTCTCAACGTACAGCTGCCGAAGCGTGCGCGCGCGCGCCCGCACACACGTGCCTGCCGGCGCGCGCGTCTCCCAACACCGTTTATGTGCGCAGGCAGACAACGTCCAAACGCGTCGGAGAGTGTGCATATGTATGCGTCTGTGTGCGTCCTGTTCATTAAAAAGGAAACAAAACAAAAGCAATGTAGAGCAGCTGCACCCGCTGCGCATGCGTGTTTGTGTTTGTGTATTTGTATTTGTTTTTGTGCGTGTGTGTTTGTGTGCACATATTTGTATTTGTCATGCCGTGTCGCCTGTAGGCGTCTCAGTTGACAATTTCACGCCTTGCGAAATGCACGCGACGTATCATCTTGTTTTCGCTCATCCACTCGTATTCGTACTTATCGCCCGCTCTCTTCCTTCTCTTTGATCGCTTGCAGATGTCATTGACGAAAAAGGATCCGTCGCTGCGTGTTGCTGCCTCAGATCCCCATTTGGTTAGCCTGGGCGGCGGCCGCCTCAGCACCGCTGTCACCATCCACTACATACACATAGGTGAGTATACATACATATGTATGTACATAAACCCCTTCGCGCCCAGCTGCCCCCTTGTCCAGCAAGGTCAGTTGTAAGCCGATAAGCAGAAGTCAAGAAACAGAAACTCAAAAAACTGTACATAGAAAACAATTCAATACGCAAACGAAACGCGCGAAAGCGACGCACAAAATAAAAACGACAAAAAAGACAAGTTTTCGGTTCTCTTATTGCTCGCTGCGATAAGATCCGCACAGTGTGACTGAAAGAAATCCTAAAGAACTGGAAAGCTTTTAGGATCTTAAGTGTTTGGCAAAATACCATCATAAAGATAGTGCCCTTTTAGATATGCGTGTAAGCTACATAATCATATCGCTTGTAGACTTGGAAGTTAAAAAATATTTGGCTATTATCAAAACCCGAATTGAGCTAGTTTAACAAAAAAAAAGTCTTTGGAAAACAAAATTTTCATGGTTTTCTTAAAACGTCAGACACTTCTCCTTAGTATCCGAAAAATTAAAGAAGCCTAACAAAGCTGGAGTCTTTGTCAAAAGCTATTAAATTGCACTTGGTTAAATACAAATACTCTAAATAAAACAATTTAAAATTAGAAAACAGAGCGAGGAATTGGCTCAAAGCGTTAGCCAACCCAATGGCAAAGTTTTTCCAAGGGCAACGAATGAATTAATGTACATACATATATTATATAATAAAAAAGCTTATGTGTCTTTCCGTTAGCATTCAAAAATTGTGTATTTATAATTTTCCGGGCGGAAATGAGAACCTATAAAAAAGTTGTTGAACAGTACAAAAATATATGATGTGTCACATGGAAAATGTTGTTAGTCTCAAACTTCTCGCTTAAACTGTAGGTATTATTTTGTATATGGACTACTAGGAATTTATTATTCATATATTAAACCATAAGTGATCCTTATTCACAGTGTAATCAGACCTTTAAAAGTTGCATTGCATTTGGTGTTTTTTGTTGCCAAACAAATTGACCGTTTACCAGTGTGCGTAATCTTTGGCCCGAGCCACGGTAACGTGCCTTGACGAGGACGCCGTGTCGTTGTTGCTCCGCGCGAGCTGAGATAAGAGCGCCCGTGTCAGCTCAGCTCGGTTCGGCTCAGCCTGTTGTTGCTCTGCTCTAGCTAGGCGAGTCAATCGCAGTCCGAAGTCGCGTGCGTGTGAGTGAGAGCGACAACGGGAGACGGACGGGTGACGACGTTCATAACAGTTATAGTTTACAGTTACAGCTTACAGAGTTACATTGGCAGTTACGTTCACAACTCGAGCTACAATTACAGTTATAGAATTTGTGTAATTTGTATTAAAATAAAAAAATTTGCTTGATTGACAGGTGACACAACAATTGGATCGGCGCCCAGCTGCAGCATCTCGCTTAACGGCAGCGGAGTCCGACCCCTGCACTGCACCATATACAGAAGCGAGGGCAACGAGGTGACTTTGGTGCCCGAGCCGGAGGCGCGGCTGCTTATCGACGGCGCCCCCCTCGAAGAGGTGGAGGAGGCGAAACTGACACAGGGTGCCATGATCACCATTGGCAATTCGAACTATCTTCGCTTCAATAATCCCGACGAGGCGCAAATGATGCGCTCAGCCATGGGCTCCAATGAGCGCATCTCCATGCCACAAATCGATTTCACGCAATCCGGACGCGCCAGCGACAGTCAATCGCTGGAGCTGGAAAGCTTCTACGAGAGCATCATAAATCCTATCAAGAACAGCGGCAACAGTCGGGATGGTGGTCACAACATGGATCTGCATGGTGTGCAGTGTCCCAAGGTGTTTAGCTCCGATCTGGTCACGGTGAACATGCCCGCACGCGATGTGCTGGGCCAAAAATATGCGAGCTTTGCCCGCAACCTGGCCGAAAATCATCGCGGCGAAAAGCAGCTAAACAATCAGTATGCCAAAACATTAACCAGCAACGGCGCCAACGGAATTGGCCACAATGCCGGCTACTGCAATATACCCAGCAATGCGGCTGTCTACAAGCAGCAGCACCCGCAGCACCCACAGCAGCAGCAGCAGCAACAGTTGGCGCAGCAGCAGCAACAGTTGGGGCAGCCTGTGGAGCTGTTGGGCAAGGTGAACAATGATCGGTATGATCGTTATCCCAAGCCGGGCACCTATACCGCCGGCGGCCTGCAAATATTTACCATGAATTGCATCAATACGGAGCTCAACAGCGGCGCCGAGCTGGAGGACATGCTCAAGATTTGCACCGAGTATGCGGATCGGCAGCAACAGCAGCTCCAGCAGCAGCAGCAGCAGCAGCACAACAGCAGCAACAGCAACAATAACAACAACAACAATAGCAACCATACGCTGCACAATGCCAGCGCCGGCAGCATCACCTCCTCGCCAATTGTCCAGAATCGCATCAAGACAAACGGTTCGCTGCCGCGGGACAAGAAGTCACCGTTCCAGCAGCACGCGGGCAGCAGCAGCAATCTGGCGCTGGTCAGCAGCTCATCGGGCTATGAGAATGTGCGCCTGCTGGGCCCCAATCGGGTCGAGATCAATGGCCAGCTGCATGTGTCCACAGCAGCATCGACATCGTCGTCGTCGTCGTCATCAGCTGCTGCTGCTGCCGCTGCTGCTGGCAGCGCCAGCCATGAGAATCTGCCCAGCAGCACGGCGAAGTATGTGCCGCAGAGTCCGCGCACTAAAATACGCACCAATTGCATGTCGCCCAAGAAGGATGCCTCCTTTAGCAGCGCCTTTGCCCTGGCCAGCTCGACACCAACGCCGCCAACGGCTGTGGTTAAGCCACCGCTGGCGCCGAAGCCGCCGGCGCCCAATCAGCAGCGGGACTATGAGCAGCTATTCAAGTCCTTTGGGCGCAAGCAGCAGCTCGAGCAGCTGGAGCAGATGGAGCAACAGCAGCAGCCAACTGGCCGCCAGCTGACGCCCGCCAAGCGCTCCAATAAGAACATCAACAATCTGACGCTCAATCTGAATGAATCCGCCAGTCAATCGCCCAAGCCCAGTCGCAAGCCAGCGCCGGCGCCGCGCAGCATCAACGTGGAGCAGCGGCAGCGCCGCGAGCTGCAGCAGCGCCGCAAGCAGCTCAAGCAAGAGCTGGACGAGCTGCCAGCACCGACGCACAGTCACGAGGTATTTGATATTCCTTTACATATCAATCTATGACTAAACCCAGTTTTGCTTTTGCAGCTGGAACCGAGCGAACAATCGGCGACAACAACGTCTACATCCGCATCGCGGACGGCGGCTACGGCGACTCCGCGCCAGCAGCTGCTGGCACTCCAGAATCGCATCCATCGCCTGGAGGCGCAGCGCAATGCGACGCGCGTAATGGAGGAGAACCAACAGGCCAAGCTGAAGCAGTCCATTGAAATGAAACAGGATCAACTGAATAAGTGAGCATGCGCAGCCACATGACAGGCTCACAATGGGCGCAGCTACAACTGGCCGAGTCCATATAGTCCTTATGTTCGTCTGTCTGTCCCCATCCAAAATAGTCTCTCAGTTTAGTATGAATCCTCCCTTCCAAGACATTTATCTGCAAGGGTATTTAATCATCGGCCTGCCAAAGATAGATATTCCAATTTTTGGCCAAATCAGGAAGGCAGTCAAAAAGTGAATACACTTTATCTGTGTAGACTTTACGGGTACCCGTGTTTGTAGCTCTTATATATCTCGAGATATGTTACGTGTCTAGAAACCGATACTTATCGATTTTACAGATATTCCATATCCCACATTTCCGATATCGGAAATATAGCTCACGTAAAAGTCGTTTGATTAATCCGATTATCCAATAATACGTTCACGAGACCTGAACAAGCCGACAAATATGCAACTTAACTCGAATATTAACTGCTCTAAATTGTATACAGCGTGATCGTCGTAAAGATACCCTTTAACAGGCGATGCTAAAGTTTTGTGCTTTTGTAGTTTTTTAGAATGTCAGAAATTGGGACTCCATAAAAAACGAGAATAAACAAATGCTATTTGAAACCAACTCCACCGATTAGGGGAGGAACACCTGTTGGAGCATTTAGGTATACCCACTTGTCTACGCCTTATTAATAGGTATAGGGTATATATATCGGAGATAAGTGCACTGTGGCTGGCAGTTGGATTTAAGTACTTAGTTTGACTGGGCCCTCATTTGAATAGGCAATTACGTTTATCTAGTATTAAAAGGGGTTCGAACTGAAAATTGGATCCGTCCAGGTGAAAAATTTGCTGGTTTAGGTTTGTGGGCATATTCGAGTACACTAGTCATCAAACTTCAGTTTAATTGGATTGTGCTTCTGTTTTGTTAAGTTCAGTTCGTTTTTGACGTACATCCGATTGCGTTTGTTGCCGTGCCGGAAGTGAATCACAATCGGAAAACAGAAGAAAACTTAACGTTTGTTGTTTTACAGACTGCGCGCCATGCTGAAGCAAAAGCCGAACAACGCCTGCCTGAAGGAGGAGCTGGAGCATGTGTGCGAGTCGCTGGATAGTGATCGAAAGACCTTCGAGGATCTGGAGTTTCAGTACTTTGAGGAGGAATCGGAGCATCATGCATGCCACGAGGAACTGAAGCGCCAGGAGCAGCGCCTAATGCTGGAAACGGAGCTGGCATCGCTGCGCATCCAGCTGGGACCCGATGAGCCCGCAGCCGAGGAGCCAACATCGCCCACAAGCGGACGCGGAACGCCCGCTTCGAACGGCGGCAGCAACAATCTGGGGAATGGCGTCATGTCGCAGTCACTGTTCGGCTCCGCTGAGCTGCTCTGCCCGAAGCGGCACAACCAGGAGGATCTGATGTCCAGGAGCGTTAACGAGAACATGTTCCACAACAACAAGATCGAGCTGCCGCATGGAGCACAGGTGACAAGCACACCGAAGCGAGCACCATTGCAGATTTACGATGCCGGCAGCTGCGATCAGATTAGCTTCAATTTATCGCTGCGCAGCGACAGATTCGAAGTGAATCCGCTGGAGCGACGTGTGCCCTCACAGGATGACATCGATCGCAGCTGCAAAGTGGCCAACGATGCGCCCATCTCGACCAGCCAAGGAGCCAGCACCAAAATCTTTGACAGCATCAAGGAGATCGAACGCAATCGCAAGCTGCTGCTGGCCCAGCAAGGTAAGCGCAAACTTTGCCGCCCTCCCACAATGCAACCCATTCTAATCTATGCCAATTGCCACAACCGCAACAGGTCATCAGGTCATCGAGCACGAACGCCAAAAGATGTACGATCTGAAGAAGAAGAGCCACGACGAGGCACGCACCCAATACTTGCTCTCCACCCAGCAGACAACAGAGCCAACGATTGAAGCGCCGCCAACCAAGCACGCTCCAGTGAACGCCAAGTGAGTGTGCCACCGAAATGCCCCACATTCTGCCCTCTAACCAATCCGACTACCATCCGCTCTCTAATTGAATCAACGGCTCGGCCTAAATGCAGCCGAGGAGCAGCTCCAAAACATTTGAGTTCAAGTTGCCTAACCTCCACGATAGCGCATTCTTTCATTCGTTCCACATGCTTGACCATATCGTTGGCGCTCTTAATTAATTGTGCAGCTGACAATAGATCTGATGCACCACCCTTACACTGTCCTACAAAGCACTAGATTCGGTAAAAGTTCAAATAGCTTTCACTTTGATCGCCTCGATACCAACTTTTTAGCTTCCCTTTCTAAATCCATATTCATTGTTTACTTATTATTTCTGTATATGATTTAGTTGGCATATCTTATCAAGTTTCTAATATTATTTTAGTTGCAAGCAATCATTATTAATCTGGCTTTTTAATTAATTAAAATATTTCGACATTTGTCTATCAAAGAGCTCTTAATTCTTGCAAATCCATTAATAGGAAACGGGTGAATGAACTGCTTGCTACATTTTGACGGGACAGATTATCTAGCGAGAAGTTAAATAAATTATTTAAAAGGTACAGTAAGTGCCTGGTAAACTTTGACAGTCAAATCAGCTGACATGTAAACGATAAACGAAAGATAAGAAAATTCTCAAAATATTTCGAATTATATATCTATATCTTACCTTTGGGTTTATTTCGTGAACCTGAGATCCCGTGAACCCAAAATCTGGGTTCGTTTAAAAATATACATTTTTTTTATATATGTTATGTGAAACTTAAATATTTAGAAACAACAGCAAATGTGAACCGGGTTGAACCGGTTTGGCTTGCAGCCTTATCTAAAAATGCCAATTCTAGTTTCTGTATGTTCTCAGGATTAAAATATAATTTCAATTTGTGTCATATTTACACATTCAAATTCGTGCAGAACTTACATACATATTTTTTCAAATTTTATCTAGAGATTTTCTAAATGTCCATGCATAATTGTGTTGTGCAGTGTAAATGCCTTTTGGGTGGCGTGCACACTCAACCCGTTGACTCTATAATTAATCAAATTATTTGCTAATAGCAAAACAATGCGGCGACTGCGACGGCGACGGTGACGACGACGACGACGACGGCAACGGCGACTGATTGTGAGTAGATTGAAAATGAAACCGGTTTTCGATTTTCAAATTGTTAGAGAAATAGGCAAACAGAGAGCAGAAGAGTTACATATGTACATACAATAAGACAACAAGGCAAATACTGTGCGTGTTGATTAGTGTGGTTTTTGGTTTACTCATTGGCGACACACAATACCCGTTACTCAAACCGAAACCGAATTCGAGTTCGAGTTCGACGCCGAATTCGCTCGCGTTGCCGTTGCCGACTTTGACTTTAGCTATTTCGAAGATCGCTCGATCGGTCGGTCAGTTAGTTAGTCAAACGACGGCGACGACGACGTCACCTGAAAAGCAAGCGTGCTGCAATTACAAACGCTGCTGGCATCGCTGCGGGCGTCGCTGCTTGTGCTGATAAGCTTATCAGCTGCTTGCTTGTGTGTGCGTGTCTTTGCACCAGTCTGGCTCTCTTCATCGCTCTCTGCTTGTGTGTGTGTGTGTGTGGGAGAGCGCATTTTTATTTGCCAACTGACGGCTCGCATTTTATGCATTGTGTCCGCCTCATCCATTGCCGCACTCGGTTCCAATTCCGATTCCGCATCTGATTCCGATTCGCAGCGCCTGTCGCTTAGTCAGTCAAACAGAGCGCGCCACAGCAGTCGCCGTCGCTGTCGCCGTCGCAGTCGCAGTCGCAGTTCCGCAGGCTGCATTAGTCATCGCGATGGATAAGCTAAATACGCTGATTCCATGCTGGTACGCAGCAGCAGCAGCAGCAGCCGCAGCCGCCGCACAGCTGATAAAACGATCTCAATATGATGAATGTGACTAACTTGGCTTTTAATTCATGTCCTTGCAGCGGCGGCAAAGATGCCAAACTATTTGAGAAAACCGAATTGCAGAAGCTCAACGATGACACAGCACAACAAAAGACACAACACGATAAGGAGAACAGTGCGTCAGGTGACGGCAGCGGCAGTCCAAAAACAACAACAACAACAGCAGCAGCAGCAGCCACAAGCCAACAGGTGAGTAGCCAAACGTTAACCTAGGCCACACGCAAAACGAAAGTCTTCAATTTTATGTCTTTCGCTGGCAGATCTGTCTGCCCCCCTCCCCCCCTTCCCCTCCCTCTCTCCACTGTCTTGCGTCTGCATTGAAGGTCATTCAATTTAGGCGCCCACAGGCCCACACGCCAACCCTTTCACGCCCACACACCAGATTTGTAATTTCAAACAATCGCCACACGTTTTGTAAATAAACAATTTGCAATCTGCCCAAATACATCTTGGGGTCCACAAGATTTACAAGCCCACATTCGGATCGAACAATCATCGATTTCAAGATTACAAATCTGACCCCTCCAGCCATGTGTTAAATGTTAGACAAACACAATTGCCATCAATTGCGAATACCCTAGACAGAGCCGAATGCAATGCGGCGTATTTATTGCTAAAATACCACGTTATTTGAGCACGGAATAAACAATCGCAATATCCTGTTACTTGAAATGTTATCACAGAAAGTCGACTACAATTTCTTAGGTTCTGCCAAAAGAACTGCATTCGGATATATATATAAATATGCCCATGTTTTAGAGCCAACTAATTATATTTGAAGTGTGCACTGAGAAACATGTTTTGATACCCTGTAATATGTATATATTTACAAATGCAACTATTTAAAAAGTTTGAGTTAACATATTATTTTGGACAAACGTTTACCACATAAATCGGGAATACTATCCCAAGTAACTCCAGTTATTTAGATACCCTGTAAAGTGCATATAAAGAGCATGATATCCAAAAGATTTTGGACAAACGTTTACCATAAAGCGTAGATTCTATCACAAGCAATTTAGTTCTTTAGATACCCTGTAAAGTGCATAAAAAGAGCATGATACCAAAAGGTGGTATTAGCATAATTCGCAAATGTTGTTGTTAATATACCCACACATTTTCATAATATAAAATAATAACATTAAGAGGTATCTTCTAGTCGAGCAATCCTATAGTCATGTATGCACTGCACTCGCATATTTGAAACCTGTTGTTCAAGCGGCGATAAGAACAGCAAATATACGCGTGTCAACAGTAAAAACTGTTAAGAATTAACGCTAAGATACTTTGGAAAGATATTGCTTAATTGGGCAATACCAAAGCAGCTCTATAAATAATAAGATAAAGGTTACTTACCTTTCGCTCTCAACACAATTCAAATTTCGAATGCGAAAATCGAAGCTCATCCGACGCGTTCACAGTGTATTTACCAGGGCTGCAATAAAAAAAACACTCGCTGGTTTCGGTTCGCGGTGCGAACCAACTCTCTGCACTTAAGTTTGGTTCATCTGTCAAATAGTTTTCAAGTTTTAGTAAACTAATTTCATTATTACTGAAAATATTGCCGAATGCAAAAGATTGTAGATCGAAGCTCATCGGACGCGTTCAGAGTGTATTTACTAGGGATGCAAATAATTAAGTTAAGTTGTAATGAACTAATTTCAGTTTTAATTTAAAATCGCCCGTTGTACTGAAAATATTGCTATCCTTAAATATTTTCCTGTACAAAATTCGGGCTAAATTTGTTGTCCACCCCAAATTGACATTTACCGCAATTGATTAAATAAATGTCATGCTTGGGAACAAAGTTATTTTCACTTTGGTACCGAGTCTCCCTTTTGACCTTTTTGACAACTTTGTTGAGTTTCACGTTCGTAAAGTTATAAGTGTATATTCTAAGAACGAACCTGTTTGCAGCCCTGGTATTGACATTTTGAACCTGTTTAAAATAGTATTTTGAATTATTTTCTCTTTAATCTTAAAATTTCTTGGCATTAGATATTTAAAAAGGTTTTTTACACAATTAAAATAAATATCACCACAAATCCAACCTTAAGATCAAGAATGAAGAATTGTTAACAGTATTTTCTCACTTTTTATCTAACCTCAAACGCTATTCCTAAGAATTATCAAATAGTTTTGTTATAATCCGGATATTAAACAGATTTTGCTAAATCGAAAATTGATAAGAATCATATTATAGACTGATTTTGAAAATGAACAAATGGCCAGGGCAAAGCTGTAAAATATCAGATAATAAAGTTATTATGTTTATGTTTTTTTTTATTATTTTTTTTTTAAACAAATTCCAACTTAACGGCTATATACAAATATTAGCTAGAATTATTGTCCGGCTTTGCTCGATAAAGTTTTTCTTTGATTTATAAACTAGTTCTGGTTGAATTTGTGTGGGGACACGACATTATTCATTTTCCGACTGCTTGAAAAGCAAAACATATTGAGACAGACATACATATATATATACAATAGGGTATAAACGAGAGGCTATTCCGAGGACATTTAGTTGTACATGTGTTTATTGGCGTTTCTTAGGGTATATGTACTGTATATAAAAGAGTATATAGGCAGCTGCTTAGATAATTAGAAGTTATATTTCAGCATAATAATTATATTATTATTTTTTATTAATATTATTATTATTTATTAGTCATATAATTGATTAAATTAGGATATTATCATTATTATTATAATACGATTATTATTATCATAATTATTACTATTAATATGAATATTTGTATATATGTATGTATAGCTAGTTGTATTCTTTAATTATTATTATTCTTGTTATTGTATTATTACTATTATTAGTATTGCTATTAATATTATTATTAGTATAAATTAATCATAAATATTGGTGGCAAATTGGTAAATTGATTTTTATTTGACTTGCATATGAATTAATTGTTATTCTTGTTACTATTATCATTATTATTATTATTTTTATTATTATTATTATTATTATTATTATTATTATTATTGCTATTGCTATTGCTATTGCTACTATTAATTATATAAATATATGCACATAGCTAGATTAATAGTTGTTTTACATAATTATTATTATTCATCTTATTATTAATCTTATAATTATTATTATTATTATTATTATTATTATTATTATTATTATTATTATTATTATTACTATTATTATTATTATCATTATTATTATTATTATTATTATTTTTTTTATTTTTATTATTATTGTTATTATTATTATTATTATCATTATTGTTACATCCACACAATTGCCTAGGATTCGAACCCGCATCCTTTTGAATCCAACGCACCTGTCGAGGAATATAACGACATGTCTTTGTCATATTGTTAATTATTATATTTGGACCAATTTATGTTTACATTGGATAAATATGCTTTGGAGGTAATAAATTTTCGCTGAATAGACGAAAGTATCTGATAGATGACACTCAAAGATTGTTTGGCGACAGTTGCCTTCGTCTCTGGAGCATGTCTATGCACTTAAGGATCTCTCTCGCTCTCGCTCTCGCTCTCCCTCTCTCGCTCTCTCACTGCCTCTCTTTCGCTCTCTCTGGATCGTCACGATTGACGGCGCCACGGCAATCGATCGTCAGCTCGTTAGTCACGAGTTTTATTCAGTTATTCAGCGTCTCGACAATTTGTTTGCCATTTTCATATATTTTTTTATTTTTACCAATGTTTATTTTAAAAACAAAAACGCCCGCCCGCCCCGTCCTGCCGCACCCGGCTCTGTTCTATGGACTACACTTATTAATAAGTTTATAATAATATTTCGTTAAATATACGCCGAAGACGCCAGCTGATGATTTTTCTGGTGGGGTCGCCAGTTTGTGTCCGCTGCTCGTTATGCGCACTTCTCAGTTGTTGTTGTTGTTGTAGTCTTTATTGTTGTTGTTGTTGTTGTTGTTTACCTTGGTGGCAAATTTTGTTTACAAGTTCTAGTACCATCAGCAGCAGCAGCAGCCGCAGCAGCAGCTTCTTCGATCTTCGTAGAGCGCCAATAGACCCATAAATTGTGTGTGCCTCATTACGATTATAATTGGCCGAATCTGTGAATCTGTGAATCTCGCATCCCGATACGCTGCTGGACAATGTTCGTGTGCGCCTCGTTTCATTTTTGGCCAAAGACCCGCGCCCGTTGCTAATTCCGCATTGTTTTTTCCCCACTTTATTTTGCCGCGCTATTCCGCATTCACATTTGGTTTTGCACGGTCGACTTTTCAATTGCGCGTTCGAATTCCCAACAGATTCAAGCCAAACAAGCCAGTCAGCTTAACCCGGGATCATGTCTGTCTGGATGACCTATGTGCAGCATCGTCGCATGGATGCGAATGCGCGACAGCGCACAGAACTCTATTATCTCGTGAGTGTGTGTGTATGTGTGTGTGAGTGTGTGTGTTTGTAGCCTGCCTCGTTTAAGTGTGCGGAATTGCTCTCACCTGTAAATTGCTAAAAATGTGTAAAACAACACAAATAACATTAGATAAATTACACTTAACTCGCCCGTTTTTCACCCAAAGAAATGGATCATTATTATTAAACGAGTTATGAAGCAAATCCGTTGGAAATTGTATACAAAATTGCATAAACAAGCTTTTCGCTCATTTTCCACGTATATTGGTGGAACCCCGTTTTAGTGCATATACGAGCTTTTCGATCATTTTCCACCTATATTGGTGGAACCCCGTTTTAGTGCATATACAAGTTTTTCACTAATTTTCCACGTATATTGATGGAACCCCGTTTGAGTGCATAAACGAGCTCTTCGATGATTTTCCACGTATATTGATGAAACCCGCTTTTAGTGCTCACTTAGCGTTCAGCGAAAACTTATATTAAAAATGCTATTTTCCAGTTCAATTGGTGTTTAGCTATGCGTTAATCACGAATTAGTCTATTAGTCGGTACTTTTTAAAGATATCTACATATTTAAAGATGGATATAGCCATAAATTTACTAGCAAATATGCATTCACATGTACTAAATATGTTCTTTTGTTACCCAAGTGTCAAGATGTAATATTTATATTTTAATCAGTTTATAAATGTAATAACAGCGTAGTCTATTTGTATATCGGAATCAGCTAGATCGGATTACTATTTCATTTAGCAGACATATAATTGATTAGTTGAAGGTAAATCGAGTGTCAGATATCTTCAGTTTCGGCAGACGCTTTCAATATGAGTGAAAATATTGTCTAAATTAAACTACATATATCACAGCTCATTTATAGAGTTGTATGGAAAGCTTCTGTTTTCTAGGGTATCTTAAGCAACCCAGCAAAAATCGTATCAAATCGGGCTAAGGAACAACTTTCGGACATAAAGCTTTGCTTTAAAAGTGCTTTAAGCCATATATTTGCAAGAGTATTGAATCTTCGGCGCGTCATTTTGTCTTGTTTCTTAATATTTGAGAGTGAGACGGCGTGTGGCAACCCTACGATTGAGTTGCTAGTCAAAACGATGTGGCAACTCTGCAATTCAGCAAATTTAACAACATGTTAGAGTGCTTGTTAACCCGCCGGAGCCATTGTGGGGTTAAACGCATTGGCCAGCGGCCAGCGGAATGTGGCCAGCGGAATACGCAGCTTTGTCCCTGGCATAGAAAAGTTTTTTTGCCTTTTGCGTGGCTATTTATAGAGTTGGTCAACCCGCTAACCCACTTACAACAGCTCTCTTTGGCGCTCCAAAGCGCTTGTGACACGCTCTCTATTTGGTTTTTGTTTGGTTATCCACAGCAACGGCATTCACAGCCGGAACTGGAGCATCATGGACTTGTTGCGGGGACGACGGCGCGCAGTCCACGTCCGCTCTCGGAGGCCAACAACTGCGAGGCCGCCATTGAGGCGCCCAAGTTTTCCAATGGCGATGCCGGCTCTGAGAACAAGCGCGCCAGCAGCAATAGCAACTCACAGGACACCGCCTCGGCGGGCAGCGGCAGCGGCAGCGCGGGCAGCAGCAGCGGCGGCGGCGGCGGCGCCGGCGGCGGCAACGGCAGCAGCAGCAGCAGCGCCAGCACCAGCGGCGAAAGGAAGCGCGCCCTGCCCAAGCATCAGCGGCCGCTGACACGTTACCTGCCCATCTTCTCGCCGGATCTAAATCTGCGGCATCACATCGAGACCGCCGGCCATCAGATCGATCTCTGTCCGCATGTATTTGTCGATGCGCACAGCTGTCGCGGGTGAGCAACAATCTGATATATCTTATTATACATATACAGAAAATATATATGAAATGAAATGAAACCCATTTCAGTTACCTGCACAAATTGGGCGCCACGTTTCATGCCTGGTCGCGGCGCTGGTTTGTCCTGGATCGTCAGCGCAGCGCTCTCATCTACTACTCGGATAAGTCGGAGCGGAAGCCACGTGGTGGCGCCTACTTTGCCGTGAGTACAACAAAATAATTCAAAGCTATCAATTATTAAAACCTGTCTCTATTCCACGTGCAGACCATAGACGAGGTGTATTTGGATCATTTGAATGCCTCCAAGAGCGGCCGGCCCCATTGTACCTTCATTGTGAAGACCAAGAAGCGTAGCTATAATCTGCAGGCTGCCTCGGATGCAGCGGCACGCATTTGGATTGATGCCATCATAACCGGCGCCCAGGGAAATTTGGACTATTAAAAAAACACCTTTGGCGCCCAACACACATACAGACACACATACGCTGAAATGGTTTTAGCTCAACTTAAACTGTAAACTTTTGTAGATATGTAAGAGGGAGCTCATATATAGTCGTTAGTTAGGTTACATAAATCCTGTATGTATCCAAAAAACAAGAAACAAGAGAAACAAACAAGGGTATAAAAATACCAAGAAACTAAGCAACCAATTTTGGCAACTAACGAAATCCGAGATTTCAGTACTGGACCAAAGTGAAGAATGTATTTTTTATGCTTTTAATTTTGTCATAATTTAGAAAAATAAGCATTATTTTTATATACATACAAACAAGCATATATCGTACAGATATATACATATATATACATATACATATATACACACACATATATTTGACAGACAGCCCAACGCAGATAACGCAACCATTTCATGAACTACAATTTTTTTTATAACTATTAACCAAATGAACCTATGACTATATGTAATTATATTGAAGTTTTGATGTGAAATTTAATTTTATAATACAATATATATTTGTATTTGTATATTTTGATAAAAGTGCGGGTTGACAGTTGAACGAAGAACTGGTCGGACTCTTTCCCCCCACGCTCTGTATTACCGTAAAAACAAACCTAATTAAACAATTTGTGCTCAGGCAACTGAATAAAATGATAATCAAAAACTATTAACATTATTAAATACAAATGAAAATAAAATAACAAATATTAAGCAAACTGTAAGTCGCTACGGCAAATAGCAAATAAAGAATTGTTTTTAAATCGATAATTGGAATGAACAGCCGTCTAATTGTATGCCACAATTTAATATATCTTAAGTTTCCATAAAAATATTGTTCATATCGAGCCAGAAATATGGCTTAAAAAGTTTAAAAAAAGGAGGCATAGTGTCATCATAATTAGCATATTAATTGTCGTCAGATGAAAGGTTCCATTTGGATTCAGGAGGCATTCAAGGAGGGATCTCAAAATCTATAGTTAAAAAGTAGCAGGACGATTTGATTGTCCTCTGGCCAGCGGAAAGCTAGCAGCTGACACTGCACTCAACAGGATCCGCAAGGATAAGATCGACTTTTGGCATATTTTTGCACAGAGAAATGTCATTTTGTCTTGACTTCAAGAATGATCGTCCTTTTTATTGCTTCTTCTGAATTGGGATGGCAGGGACTATCTGCCTGCCGAAGGACATCAAAATAGTCTCCCAAATTATAGCCGAATATTTGATTATTATATTAGTATGAATAATGGCCATCACTCGGCCATGTCCTTCCAGATTTTCAAAGGACTTGGTGCGTTAGGATCGCAAGGACCAACTGCATCGGTCTGCATTTAAAAAATATGGGGTCATCTAAGAATTCAGGACTTGTACATTTTCTGTCGCCAAGCGCAAAGGAAACAGGCCAAAAACACAAATTTTCTTAATAACTCTAGAACTACAAGGAGGATTTGGATGTCCTTTGGCCAGTTGGTAGCCCCTGTCCATAAGAAATTTTTGACACATGACTCGCAAGGATCCGCAAGGATACGGCCGAGTTACAGGCAATTTTCTATATGCAAAATTCACACTATTTCTCAGCTGTTTAAAGCACTTTCGTCCTTTTTAATGTTTATTCTGAATTGGGGCCACAAGGACATTGTGTTGGCCAAAGGACATCCCGATAGTCCTTAAATTGGCCAAGTTAGCCCGGATTTTGTGGTTTTTGGGCAATTTTTGCGACTAACCCCTAGGAAAATGTTTCCGGGATATTTTTGGTAGAACCCTGGAAATCCTTGAATGCCAATCGATGGTCCTGCTTCCTGCTAGTTCAAAAAGTTATCATTCGCCGAAATCCGCAAGGATACGGCCGAGATATGGCAAAAAATCGAATGTCCTTTTTAGAAAAATAGCCATAACTTGGCCATATCCTTGCAGATTTTCAAAGGACTTGGTGCATTAGGATCGTAAGGACCATCTACATCGATTGGCATTAAAGGATATGTGGGTTATCAAAGGACCATGATTAAGGAATTGAAAAGCAATGTCCTTTGGCCAATTGAGTCGCCAGGACTTATAAGTTAACATGGTTACATAGCTGTTATATTAATTAAGATATATGGTTCAAGTTTATTTCTAGATCCATTAAAAAAATATACACAAATATGTATGCATATTCAATATGCCTGTAACGAATTGGTTATAAATACTAGTATTTCCGAAAATTCTGTTGATTAGATAATATGAGGTAAACTAAATAATAAGCTAACTTCTAGTTAATAACAAATATTGGTAAAATGCTGCACAGATGCTTCCAAATATTTAGTTACTAATACAGTATAATATATACATATATGTATAGATATATTATAAATTTCGCATTTTATGTCAAATCTGTGCAGCATTCAATTCTACAATTACTTTTAGCATGTTTAGAAACTTTCGATACGTTGGCGCTTATGATGTCTGCTATCGACGTCCAAATTGTCCTCATAGCGATCCAAATATTGATATAGCCAGCGCGCAAACTCGTTCATGTAGGGATCAACTCGGGAGATAACATTGAAACTGGCAACAGCTGGCGGCGGATAACTGCCAGCACCAAAGATGCTACGCACAAAATTCTCACAATGGAATATGGCAACGGTCACATCGGCTTCGAGTACATCCAGGCGCATGGCCAGCTTAGCAATCGATTCCGCAAACTGTTTAAGCACAATATACGTTTTGCTGCTGAATGCGGCTGCAAGCGAAACAGAGACAGATATAGAGAGAGTGCCATGAATTAAAATGAAATGAAAGATTGGCTCACTGGGCTGCTCGATGCGGGAGACAACATAGTATTTTTGCAGCAGTTGTTGGGCCTCCTGAGTAAAGACCACCTGGCGATGTTGGAGCAACTCAAGCAGTGTTCGTGTATCGTCTAAGGGAATATTAAATGCATCCTGCGTTTTGTCCTGGTCATCTCTACGGTGCTGGCGCAGCACAAAGTCCCACATTGTTTCATTCACCTGCTGATCCATGTACACGGGCAGGCCAAAGATGCTTGAATATAAATATATATATGGTAAGTATATGAATAATTATTTGGGAGAAAGCAACTCACGGACAAAGCTTGGCAAAGGCAGTTGTCTGATTGGCCGCATTCTCCGGCTGCCAATATGTCCAAATGGCCGTTTCAAGCGGCTGCGCACTCTGCAGCTGTGGCACCGGCACGCTGCCATTCTCAATGCATTTCTCCAGCTCCTCAGTTTGATCGCGCGACAGGCGATTCCAGTCGCCGGCAAAGTAGACGCCCTGCTGAGCCAGCAGCAATGGGCTGGCCACCACCCAATTGTAACGCGATGGCAGCGCTGTATGCGTCGGTTGCTGACCACCCTCGTGGGGGCCAATGAAACGGGGTGCCAGTTGGCCAACGTTGTGCAGCAGCCGATTAGCCACACAGCTGTCGGCGCAGATGACGCACAACGAAATGGGTGCACGCAGATCGTCCAGCTCAATGCTGACCAGGCTGCTCAAGAGCGCCATCTTAAGATACACATAGCACTCCATGGGCACACATTCTTGGCTCAGCTGCGCACTCAGCGCATAGACAAAGGCATAGTCCGAGTATTTGGAGCATATCAGACGATACAACTTCTTGATGCTTGGTGGCATAAAATTCAAATCGACGACGAAATTGCGGCGTTGCGGACTTTCGCCGCTTACAAAAATTATGTGACGTGGTAAAGCTCTGTTTGTGCGGTGCGGCATGTTGGGGTTCTCTTGATCCACATCAGATACCTCGCTCAAGTTTTCCAACTCTTCCAACTCGAGAAACAGCAGCGCTTCAGTTTCCTGCGTTGGCGGATCCATATTCAACAAGGGTGGACTTCGTAAAAAGTCAACCGTCGCGTCTGTTTGGGTTGGGCTGTCAGAGGGGCCGAACATTGTTGACAGGCTGCTGTTGCCTGTGCCGATACCCGTGCTGGGGAGGCTGGCGAGCCGAAAAACCGACTGGCTGGCATTGTTGCTATTGTTCTGCAGGGGCAGCTGCCTGGCGGCTGTGGCAACCGCTGCAGTCCTTGCCGCGACCGCAGCCGTTGGTGCTCCACTCGAATCCGTATAGCTGGGCGATATATTAAATGTGGCTTGCGATCCCTGGCTATTGTCAGTCAATTGTGATTGCGGCAGCCCATCAGAGGGCAACGACACCAGCTCAAAGAGCGCATGGGGCTTGAGTGTGCGATGGAATCGCTGACGGCGGCGACGCTCCTGCGGGGCAAGGGGTTGCATGTGTAATATAATCATTTTATCGCTCATATCCCACTTACGCTAATCATATTTCTGGGCTCTCTTGCAAGCGCTGACCCCTGCATGGGACGAAACTCGTTGGCATTCCAATTCAGCGTGCTATGTGCCGCGATGTTATCCAGCTGCAATTGGGATTGCGTTAGCGGCTCATTGGCAGCCAGGGCCTGCTGCAGCTCCAGCACAAAGGACGCATCATCATCATCACGGCCGCTGTGCACAGGGCTGGGCGGCTGCATTATCAGCTCGTGGGGCAGTTGCGACGGCAAGCCCGGATGTTCTCTGCGTGCACCCATATGCGGCGCTTGTTCACGTTGCACGCGGCGATCATTGCGGCGCCATTGATGTTGCGGTTGTGTGCCGTCAGTTTCATGAACAACACGTTCGCTGACTGGAGCGGCAGTCCTGGCAGCTTCGCCAGATACGGAGCGAATGTTGGGTGCGGTGCGCATGGCGCCATTCACCGGCAGGGACATGGTCATGTTCGGGCCTGTGACCGAGCAATGCGGCACGCTTTGGGCAACCGGAGATTGTTGTGCGTGCCCGCTTGGTTGGTTGCCGCTGATCGCAGGCGGTGGCATTATCTTGCTGGCAGCAGCACATGGTGGAGCCTGCTGTTGTTGCGTTCCTTGGGACTGGGCTGCAGCAGGTGCGCTGACACTAGCCTCATATTGGGACGCACCGAACTGGGGCAATTGCGTTGATAATTGCTGAGATTGGACGATCGGCTGCTGCACGGTTTTGAGCCATTTATTCACCACTTGTTGCTTTTCAAGGGAGTTGCTGGATGTTGACTGACGCACGTAATGGCCAACACGCTGGCTACAGGCCTGGGCAACTGGCAGAGCTGCTGGCGCGACAACAGCAGCTCGAGCGGCCTTTGGCTTCTTGCGTACGGCGCCCACAGCGGGAAAATCCTCATCGGTCGGAGCAAAGGAAACGATATTGGTGTTTACACTCTGTTCGCTGGACAACCTGCCCCAGACGCGTTTGGGTTCTCCACTAGCAGATGCTGCGGCTGAAGCTGTGGTAGTGTTGGTAGAACTTATTACGGGGCTGACGTTTGTCCTGGAAGTAGAAAACATGAATACACCCTACTTTCAAACAGTCTGCATGAATTGTATGCTTACGCCGCGGACTGGCTGCTTATGGATTGCGCTGGCTTCGGCTGATCCCCATCGGCGCGCAAGAAGTCAATGAGCTGCACAGGCTGTCGGCGATTGCGTGAGGCCTTTAAGCTTTTCTTAGATGGCATGCTTCAAACTGATAACTGCTGGCTGTGCCGCAATAATAGCCAGTTATCACGTAATTGGCGCCCAACTTCAAATCACCGTCGTAGGTATAGGCTGGCAGACACAAAGAGAAGCTGCATTACTTTGTTAGCTAGATGTCTTCCCATATATACATACCACGCAAACGCACTAGAATTGGCCGATAAATACAGTCCACAGATCTCGGGGTCTGCGCACACTCCGCCGGCAATACGGCAATCAAACGATAATTCTCTGTTACGCGCAGCTTTTGGTATTCACTCATAGGACGCGAGCAGTTGGGGCACAATGGCGCTGGACAATAAGGCAGTGAATTATGAAAATATATATATATTTAATTTACGGATTTGCGGAATAAAGCTTGAGATGATTTCAAATGGGAAGCGGTCGGAAACTGAATTGAGCAGCAAACGTTTCTGACGGCTTACATTTAATGAAACGACCACTTGGATGGGGTCTAGGACACTGGGTTTGTGTTAGTATGTGTATCTATATCAGTGGGCTTTGCATGTCTACTCTCTAAAGCGTTCAGATCGCCAGCGCGTCCGTGTGTGGTGTGTGTGTGTGTGTCCGTGTCTGTGGGAGTGTTAAGGAATGCATTCAAATAGACATACCATCCGTGGAGCTGGTTTGAATCGCATTCCGCATGCAACCGCCTCCACAATACCAAATCGATTGCAGTCTGGTGTGTGCGAAAGAAACAAACAAAAAATAAACAAATTTGAAGATTAAATATCCTTGCAGATATTAAATATTTTAACAACTATAGTTGCCAAGTGAAAAGCTCAATTTCAATCTATATTAACAAAAGAGTTGTTCATACAATAATTCTATACCCTGCAGCAACACGAAACTTACTTTCATTCAAACTCTCCCACAAAGGATATCCTTGAAACTCGTAGCAGATTGCCGGAACTGTCTCCGGCAGCTCTCGGCACCCACAACAGGTTTATACTTATTTCCATGGTGGCATCCTATTTCCGAAGGGAATCTGAAAGCCTTCTAGCAAGTAGCTTTTACAAGCTCAGGTGCTTATTGATCTCCTGCTAGCCTATAGAACTAGAAATTTTGGAAGGAACTACTTGAGACTGAGTGTAGGCTCTGCTTGAAGGCCGCAGCCATTCCTTGGAATAGATGAAAGCATCTAGGCAAGCTCAGATCATGGCCTCTGCAGCAAGAGTACTGCTCCCGTTCATAATGGAAGTCGAACAAAGCTTGCCAGACGTAATAGACCGACTCGATCACAGTTCCCCCTCTCTCTATCTCACTCTCTCCCTCTCTCTCTTTTAAAACTATACCGACTATATACTTTATAAAATCGGACATACTCTATCGCACAACTAATATATTCTGCAATATATTCGAAATAGCCTTCGATTTAAAAAAGACGCCAACTTGCACACTTACACTAATGTCTCCGGCGGCGTATAAGCGGACAAAATGCCATTCACCAGCGCCAGGCCCAAAGGGTACAGATACTGCGTCGGATCGTACAGTAGATTCTGCTGTAGCGGCAGATCCACAAGACGCCACTGCGTATGCAGCTGGGCTATATCAATCGCTTTGACTCCGTTTTCGTTGGCGTTTGCTTTTAGCAAATCGCGCACCTGCCCGTAGACGGAGTACTTGACCGCCTCGGCGAACTGCAGAGGCTCTTCGACGACCAGGTGCAGCAGTTGCGGTGCGTGCTCCACCAGCTCAGCGTAGTTAAAGTCCAGGCGCAGCCGCAGGGGCGCCAGCGCCTCCTCCGGTTTGCGCGTGCGCCTGTAGTTGCGCAGAAAGTTCTCGACGGTCCCTTCGATCAATTTCACTAGTTGCGTCTCCCGGCAAAACTTCTCAATTAACTTTTGTTCGTGGAATCTACGTACAGTATGTAGTTTGTATTTTATGTTCGTGTTTGCTTCTTTTCCATGCTGTTATTTTGCAATACTTACTGGCTGTGGCGTTCACGCGAACGTTCCTCGAATGCAGTGCTAGTACTCGAATTTGTGCTAAGTCCTTGCGTTTCAATAACTGTATTCACATTGAACATTTTATGCAAGCAAGTGCCTGAGGCTAGGCATATGTATAGGTATAGTTCCTGAACGAAACGCAAGAATTCAAATTGGACATTTTTGCAAAATGACATCAAAGTGTGGCAGCATTGTCACGCAGACCAGCGCTGCCACTTCTCAGGGTTGTATAGACCGCTTTTAAATCTAATCGCAATCGTTATCGAAATCCATGCAAATTCGATTTCGCCAATTGTTTACCAAAGCACAATTTTTAAGATCAGCGAACGTAAAAAACGGCTTCGTTTCAGCTCGTGACGTATGTGTTGGTACGTACAAAATTATAAAATTTATTTCTAGTGATAAACTCTATAGCTATTAAAAAAAAAGCATTGTGTCCTATATTATTTTTTACACAATTTATTTGCTGAACAATTCATGTGTATCTTTAGCTCCGGCCACTTCCCACCTGTTTATTCAATGCCCGCTTAAAATTGATCAAAACGCTGCCGTTTACATACAAATTTACACCACACGTAAAGTATCAAATTTAAATCGAACATTAAACAAACGGTATTTGTTATTTGCATATGTGTGAGTTGCTTCTTAACGGTTAGACTTGGCAACACGCTCCAATTCGTCTTTCTTCTTGATGGCGTACGAGTTGGATGAACCCTGCAAACGAAGCAACAGATAAAACAGATGTGAGTTTATTCATTGTTAAAAACATAATTTGGTTAAGCTTAGACTTATTAATTGTTCTTCTACGTTTCTCGTGTGCATTGAGCTGAGTGTTGCCACAAGCACAAGGATAATAAAAGACATAATTGCTCTTGTCCAAAAGCGAGTCTGCAACAATATCCAAGTGACATGATGCAGAATTAGACTGGACATACTAGATAATATATATATAAATATGCTTATAAATTGTTCTTCTACGTTTCTCGTGTGCATTGAGCTGAGTCTTGCCACAAGCACAAGGATAATAAAAGAATTGCTCTTGTCCAAAAGCGAGTCTGCAACAATATCCAAGTGACATGATGCAGAATTAGACTGGACATACTAGATAATATATATATAAATATGCTTATAAATTGTTCTTCTACGTTTCTCGTGTGCATTGAGCTGAGTCTTGCCACAAGCACAAGGATAATAAAAGAATTGCTCTTGTCCAAAAGCGAGTCTGCAACAATATCCAAGTGACATGATGCAGAATTAGACTGGACATACTAGATAATATATATATAAATATTCTTAATAATTGTTCTTCTACGTTTCTCGTGTGCATTGAGCTGAGTCTTGCCACAAGCACAAGGATAATAAAAGAATTGCTCTTGTCCAAAAGCGAGTCTGCAACAATATCCAAGTGACATGATGCAGAATTAGACTGGACATACTAAATAATATATATACATATGCTTGTGCAAAGGGATCAAATATAACAAACACTACGGTAAATAATTAATTGCAATTAATTTCCGCCCACTTTTCAAAGGGCAACGAACGCCGGACAACTCCTAACCTCGTCTACAAGCAAGGCGACGCAATCTTGGCCAAACAATGCGTGGCATTAGAGTAGAAATACGCTTACTCAACAATGGGTCTCTACGTTAAATAGCTTACCTTGGCGGCATTGATGAGCTCATCGGCCAAACACTCGGCAATGGTCTTGATGTTCCTGAAGGCAGCCTCGCGGGCTCCGGTGCACAGCAGCCAGATGGCCTACAAGTAAAAAGTTATTAAACAATTAAATAATCGCAATTCGAAAGAGTATTTTATAGCATGTCTCTTCGGTTCATACGCCAAATGTCGGCTAATTACACATTGTGACGCTACGGATAGATAGATGTTTGTTATAGCCAAGCGTTATAAGAACGCAGTCGCGGGTCGAACTGCGTGCCATCGTTGCTGGCCAAATGGAGAGTACGACTACGAACAGCTATAAAACACCAACCTGGTTGACACGACGCAAGGGTGACACATCCACAGCCTGACGACGCACGGTACCGGCACGACCAATACGTGTGGAGTCCTCACGTGGTCCCGAGTTGATGATGGCGCTCACCAAGATCTGCAAGACAAACGATATGAATATAATCAATAAGTTGCACAAGTTAAAATGTAAAATCGGTTTCAATACGAATTTAAATAAGATGTAGTTTTAAGTTCCAAGAGAGCAAAAAGAGAGTGATATCTTTAGGCACTAGGATATTAAAACCTCATATTTATTATAAGTCCATTTAAAAAGATGCTCAAATCAGCATATAAGCTGGTTCGCATTGAGTTGGACTACAATTGGGATACAAATGATATTCTATATACATATAATTAAACTTCTGGTGTTGATTTTGACTTTATTAAGGTTTGCATCTTCGAGCCAATGCCCTTAAGAGGAATAGTTAATCATGGTATTTTATGTAGTCCAATTGAATACCACGCCAGCGTGTAAATCACTGATGCGGTTTTAGTTTTGGACATAAATCAAGTGTTCGTAAAGAGCATAGCGTAATGTTGTTTTAAGTTCCAAGAGAGCGGGAAGAGAATGAGATCTTCAGGCACTAGGATATTAAAACCTCTATTAGTTTGAGCCCAATTTAAATAAGATGCTCAGCACAGTAGAAAATATAAGCTGTTTGGCATTGAGGTGGACTAGATGTAGCTGCTTGGTTAAGCTATGAATCTCCGAGTTATTAGAATTTATAGTTGTAGTTTTAAGTTCCAAGAGAGCAAGAAGAGAGCGAAATCTTCAGGCACTAGGATATTAAAACCCCATAATTATTATGAGTCCAATTAAAATGGATGCTTAGCTCAGCATGGAATACAAGCTGGCTGGCATTGAGGTGGACTAAAGTTGGTACAAACGTTTTGCTCTGTAAAGATGCTGTTGGTTTTGACTTTATTAAGGTTTGCATCTTCGAGCCAATGCCCTTAAGAGGAATAGTTAACCATGAGTTTCGATGTAGTCCAGTTGAATACCACGCCAGCGTGCGAAGCACTGACGTGGTTTTAGTTTTGGACATAGATCGAGTGTTCGTAAAGAGCATAGCGTAATGTGGTTTTAAGTTCCAAGAGAGCGGGAAGAGAATGAGATCTTCAGGCACTAGGATATTAAAACCTCAATTAGTTTGAGTCCAATTTAAATAAGATGCTCAGCACAGTAGAAAATATAAGCTGTTTGGCATTGAGGTGGACTAGATGTAGCTGCTTGGTTAAGCTATGAGTCTCCGAGTTATTAGAATTTATACTTGTAGTTTTAAGTTCCAAGAGAGCAAGAAGAGAGCGAAATCTTCAGGCACTAGGATATTAAAACAATATTATTATAAGTCCGTTTAAATGGATGCTCAGCACAACACGAGAAATCAGCTGCCTGGCATTGAGGTGGACTACAGTTGTGGCTTTGAGTTGCACGCGAGCGGGATACAAAAATATTAAAACTAACGCTAGTTTACAACGCGTTTCTTGAGTATGGAGTTAAATTGCGATTGTAGTTTCAAGTTCCAAGAGAGTAGGAAGAGTAGTGCTTCAAACACTAGGATATTGAAACATTTGTTTTCTCTGCGTGCACATTCTACCTGTTGCCCGTGTGGCTTGTTTTTAGCACGGGCACAGTTTAGCATGGCACGGTGACAAAGACAAAGACAAGTCGAGTACTATGTGCTTACCTGCAGTGGGTTTTCGCCAGTTAGCAAGTGGATGATCTCAAAAGAGTGCTTGACAATGCGGCAGGCCATCAGCTTCTTGCCGTTGTTGCGGCCCTTCATCATCAGGGAGCAGGTCAGACGCTCCACGATGGGGCACTGGGCCTTGCGGAAACGCTTGGCGGCATAGCGACCAGCCGAATGGGGCAGGTAGCGTGCGAACTTCTCTTTCACGGAGATGTAATCCTGCAGCGAGATATCGTTGACAGTCACATCATCGCAAGACCAGCGACCGAACAGTTTGATCTCTGGCAGCTCGGTGGTGGCGACCACATTTGTGTCGAGCACAGCTTCGGCAACCTCCGTTTCCACTGGCGCCGGCTCCTCGAAGTTCTCGACAACGTTTTCAGCTACTTCGGCCATGCTGCAATGTAAGCAAAGGCAATTTATTTTAACCGCCAATTTAGGTATTTATTTTTACTTATGTATTTGTTGTTGATTTTTGACTTTATTAAGGTTAATATCTTCAAGTCGATACCCTTAAGAGGAATAGTAAATCATGGCGTCTAATATAGTCCAGTTGAATACCACAACAACGTTTCGTTCACTGCTGCGGTTTTAGTTATGGACGTAAAAAAAATAAGAAAAAGTGCCTACATTTAAATGCAAACACGTGTGGATACGGCAAAAAGCGCTCATAACATACACAGGCACGCACACAAACAAAAAAAAAAACGGACACCGTATATAACCTCATTGTGCGTGGCTTAATGAAACCAGCAAGTTTTGGACATTTGCACAATGCATTTCACGAAGCTTTCGATTGTAGCAAATAGCCGCTTCGTTTAAGAATCAATTGCTTATGCTTTTATGTTTATACACTTTTATTTTGACAAAATAATCTTACATTTTTCACGGAAGAAATCGGTACACGATGTATGCGCAAAGGCGTACGCCTGAAAAAGAACATGTTGCGGCAGTGTGCGTCAATACCACAAAAATTGGTTTCCGGCCAAATCACAGAGTTGTATTTTACTTACAGGGCTGCAACGAACTTCCAAAATTCGAGACAATCGAATATCAAATTTCTAAAAAAATTATGCAGCGTTTGGTGAATTATAGCACTAACCATACAATGCATAGACTTGTCAAATGTCAAAATAATCGGATACCGAAAATCGTCAACGACTGAGCCCCATGGGTGACCGCGACCATTTTAGTGTGCCCAGACAAAGTAAGACTGCTGAGAGTGGCAGCCGAACGCCGGCCTCGACAGCCGAACGTTCAGTATGAAGCCGCATCCCGCTCAGCGCACAACGTTGCTGCGGCTGATGCTGTTTTGTAATATACATATGTATCTTTTCAGCCCAAATACATACATATGTGTATATGCGTGTGCAGAGTGCCCCTCGCTCACACTTATTACTTTGCGCACTTGTGTGCATCTCCTTCTCCCTGCATAGCTTCTCAAAAACCCCGAGATCTACAAACATACATACATATGTTTGTGTTGTGTGGATGTGCGCACAAGTAGATCGCGGCGTTTGTCGCGAGCCAGAGATTTTTTCTTCAATTGTGTGCCCTTTGTGCCTGTGGTGACAAAAGGCACACACATTCAAATGCTCTATCATGTATTTCTTCGTCCAGTCAGGCATAATGAGAAGAATCTGATATATTTATATTCATTAAAAACTTAAATGACCTAAATGATATATTTATATATTATATTTTAATTTTTTTGTTTACTGTGGGGACCAATTTTGCTTAAAATTAAAAAAAAACTAAGTCGTATTTCTGCAAGGGTAATGCTTCGTCGGCTTGTCGAATAATTTAAGAAAAGACCAATCATTGAAAATGTTCAATTTTTTCGACTTGCTACTTGTGCACACGCACACTCTTTCGAGTAAGCAGTTGTGTGACATTATTAAAGGGTTTGGCCTGTGTTCATGTGCAAAACTCCTATTTTCATTGCTTGTTGTAAGGGTAAGGGTACCTGAACGTTGGCATGTGTGCATAATAACTTTTTGAGCCTGCCAAGCACACATACTTACACACTTTTCTATATGGATGGAAGCATTTATGCGTTTGTGTGCGTGTTGGTTGCCTGCCTGCCTGCCCGATGCAAATTTGACCAAATTTGAAGTTTTTGGCATTTCTGAATTTCGAGCTCTACACACAGACACACACACACACAAAAATGTGTGCGAATGAGCCGATCAAGGGTTTGTCGTGAGACAGAGATATTTTTATCAATGGGTGCGTAAATTTGGGCGACGGTGGGCTTGCGGCCGCGTAAGGCACACATATGTGAACAGGCAACGAAAACAGGTGAACCGCAATTGCCGCTCGTTTGCACTTTGATATGGAAAAAATGCAAGTGATCTTTTAATGTATTTTTCGACATTGTAAACATTTTGGGTTAAAGGGTTTTATGGCAGGCAATCAACGATAAGAATGTGCAGCATGCGTCTGCATCCATTTGTCCATTTGTTCACACATTTGTGGCTTACGCGGCCGCAAGCCCACCGTCGCCCAAATTTACGCACCCATTGATGAAAATATCGCTGTCACACGACAAACTCTTGATCGGCTCATTCGCACACATTTTTGTGTGTGTGTGTGTGTTGTGTGTAGAGCTCGATATTCAGAAATGCCAAAAACTTCAAATTTGGTCAAATTTGCATCGGGCAGGCAGGCAGGCAACCAACACGCACACAAACGCATAAATGCTTCCATCCATATAGAAAAGTGTGTAAGTATGTGTGCTTGGCAGGCTCAAAAAGTTATTATGCACACATGCCAACGTTCAGGTACCCTTACCCTTACAACAAGCAATGAAAATAGGAGTTTTGCACATGAACACAGGCCCCCTTAAATAATGTCACACAACTGCTTACTCGAAAGAGTGTGCGTGTGCACAAGTAGCAAGTCGAAAATTTTAACCTTTTCAATGTTTGGTCTCTTCTTAAATTATTCGACAAGCCGACGAAGAATTACCCTTGCAGAAATACGACTTAGTTTTTTTTTAATTTTAAGCAAAATTGGTCCCCACAGTAAACAAAAAAATTAAAATATAATACATAAATATATCATTTAGGTCATTTAAGTTTTTAATGAATATAAATATATCAGATTCTTCTCATTATGCCTGACTGGACGAAGAAATACATGATAGAGCATTTGAATGTGTGTGCCTTTTGCCACCACAGGCACAAAGGCCACACAATTGAAGAAAAAATCTCTGGCTGGCGACAAACGCCGCGATCTACTTGTGCGCACATCCACACAACACAAACATATGTATGTATGTTTGTAGATCTCGGGGTTTTTGAGAAGCTATGCAGGGAGAAGGAGATGCACACAAGTGCGCAAAGTAATAAGTGTGAGCGAGGGGCACTCTGCACACGCATATACACATATGTATGTATTTGGGCTGAAAAGATACATATGTATATTACAAAACAGCATCAGCCGCAGCAACGTTGTGCGCTGAGCGGGATGCGGCTTCATACTGAACGTTCGGCTGTCGAGGCCGGCGTTCGGCTGCCACTCTCAGCAGTCTTACTTTGTCTGGGCACACTAAAATGGTCGCGGTCACCCATGGGGCTCAGTCGTTGACGATTTATCGGTATCCGATTATTTTAACATTTGACAAGTCTATGCATTGTATGGTTAGTGATTATAGTTTTTATTCAAAAAAAAAAACAAGAATGGGTTTTATGATACAATTTTTATATAACAGTGCTGTTGATCGAATACCCTAACTGTTGTTGACTTTATAACAAATTGATTTCGATATATACTATCGATGCCCGGCTTTCTTACAAAAGGAATTGAATAGGTATAATAAAAATACCGCCTACTGGGCTGTGTTCAATAAATTGTCAATAATGTTATTAGTAATTAATATAAACAATAAATAAAAAGAGCTATCCTAAATTCATTGGCATAACAGTGTTATGTCTATCCAAACGCCAGTAATTTATTGCAATATTATTTACTGCAAACCAAAGCCCAAAACATACTTTTGCTATCGATAAATTAATAGACTAATGCACAGCTCTAACAATAATAGCAAGAACAACAATATGATTGTTGTTTAAAATCGCCGGAAAACGTACGTTCCTTAATTTTCCACTGGTATTTAAAATTCATCCGTTAAACGGCATTTAATGTAAAGATGACAACCGACGAGAGTATAATGATAGAAATGCTGGGTGAGTTTCACTACGTGAAGCTTCAGCTGTTTCGGATTTTTCTTTAGCTGTAAATACCCCTTTTTGCACCTTTTGCACTAACGCAGATCGTGCAACGAATCCGACAAAGGAACGAGTCGACGAACTTGGCGTGCAAATGTTTTGCATTGTGGTACGCAGCAACACCCAATTGGTGCACAAGGCGCAGGAGATGATTGTGGGCAAAGTTCGTTCGACCAATGTGAACGAAGCAATTCGAGCAATTGCGGTAAGTGTGACCGCCACACACACCCTATCAATTACATACACACACGCACACGCACTCGCACAAAGCCATTTTAGGCATTCAATTATTCTTTGTCATAAAAACTGTTATTGTAGTTGCTGGAGGAATGCATGACACAATGCGGCGACGTCTTCCAGGATGAGGCAGCCAAGTTCCGTTTTCTCAACGAGCTGATACGATTGGTGTCAACGAAATATGATGGTGCTATAACTCCGCTTGTGGTGAAGCAGCGCATAATGGAATGCCTGCTGCTGTGGACCACCGAGTTTCCACAGCGCCAAAAGATACGGGATGCCTATGAGATGCTGCGCAAAGAGGGCGACATCGATCACAGCCAAACAGCCGCTGCGCTGGCCAAGCGGGAGAGCGTGCTCAACACCATGGATGAGGCCATGTTCGCCAAATTGATCAAAAGTCAGGACCCGGAGAACTTTAAGCGCGCTAATCTATTGCTTCAATATCGCATGGCCCAGGAGGCGCGACGCAATGATTTGCTCGCTCAGCATCGCCTCGTACTGCTGGAGGTGCAGGAGACCATGCAGCTGCTCAACCAAATGCTGGACAGCTACAATCCCAGCGATTCTGATGTCAATGAGACCATACACGAGCTCTACCAGAGCTGCAAGAAGCATAAACCCATCTTTCAGCATCTGCCCGAGCTGTTGGGCGAGTCCGATGCTCAGCTAATAGGTTAGTTCAGGTCGCAATCTTGCTGGTATATATTTATAATTTACCCATGTTCTTCGCAGAAAAAACGCTGGAGACAAATGGCGCTCTGATGACAGTTATGGCGCGCTATAAGCAACTGGTGCCCTCACCTATAAAAAGCACTACCCCAGCTATACAATCCACAGCCACAGCTGCAGCAACAGCTACATCGAAATCAGCTGTTGCCAGCGGGTCCAGTAATGCGACACTGCTCAACGAACTGCTCGGGGATTTGCTGCTTGGGGATGGCGATGGCGAAGCCGTGGCCAAGCCAACCATTGCATCGAATAGCTCGAAGCCTAATGCTTTGAAGGATCTTAGCGACATCTTTAGCAGCGCTCTGACCGAGAACAAAGACGAGCAACAGCAAAGCGCAGAGCCTTTTCAGCATGCCAGCAGCGGTGAGCTGCTGGAGCCACAGGTGCTCAGCCTTTTGAAAAACGAAAGCAACGGCGCTGCCGGTGATGGCCTGGCCAATGGCAGTGCCGCTGCAGATGGTACCAAGAAGTCTAGCGCTCCGCGCAAAATGCCCGAAATCGATATGCTAAGTGAGGAACTGTTCCAGCAGATACTGCCAACACAGGAACGCATGGGCAGCTTTAAGCGTGATCCCGAGAAATTGACGCTTAACGATTTGGCTCGCGAGCGCATGCAAGTCAAGCCCGCAAAGCAATCAACTGCGGATTCATTGGATGATGTGCCGTTGTTGAGCGCTACGCCAGCACAGTCGGTGCCGGTGCAGTCGGTACCGCAGCCTGCAAAGGAGGAGGAGAAGATCGTGGAGGCATCTCCAGCTGCCACAAAAGAAACCAAGCATCTTAGCGAGATCAGCATCGAACTGGATAACATTCAGGCCACAGGCGAGG